GGGGAAGTGGCCATGACCACCCATAATCTTTGTGCTCACCACTGTGGGAACCTAAAAATCTTGTGTCCCTTTGTGTATACAAGTATTTACATTTATTGATAAAAATTTAAATCTCATTCTAGCTATTCCCACATGGCATTTTCAGATGCACATCATGTTGCAGAGTTTATCAACTGAGGTTCTGCTTGTAATGATCTGTGCTGTAATCAACCTCATGGTATGATCCTGCTTAATTTTTTGTTTCAGCCAACTGCTTCGCCATGGCTCTTGTAGCAGAATCTGAGGGTTCAACACTGATAATAACAAAGCCATCCCTTGGACATGATCCTAAGCCAGTTCCATCCACCACCCATTGCCACAGTCTGTTTTCATGAGATTAAACTTGCAACATTTTTTTTGTCTTCAGAGTACAAGAAGTTTGCCCATGAAACTTCTGCATGCATCCCATATCATGCTTATCCTCTTAGGTACTTTCTCTGCTCATTCTATGCTCCTGTCCTGTATACAGTACTAAGTCATGTAGTATGTGGAACTTTCATGATGACTGACTGCAATGAAGGCTGCTAACACAGTCAGCTGTGTCCAAATGGGATGGAAACTAATCCTGTCTTGATCTGGCTGACTTTCCCAAGAGTACTAAGTTCCTCGCTTGTAATCTCACAGATAAAATGATCACACGTCTTCTACATTTCTTGCAGGGTGTTGGAATGATTGTTGAACGACATCCAGATGGGCAACCACATTAAGGAACAGTATAAGATATTGAAGCAACAAGCCATGCAAATAAACATGCTTACACAGGTACTGGTACACGCTTGTACGTGTTTTATATGAGATGTTTCTTGACAGAAAAATCTGAGATGTCAAGAAATTGCCTTGTACAAATATAAAGCTTTTCCATTATGAATGTATAATTTTAGTTTGTAATTTTTAAGTAAGATATATACATACACATATATAGATAATTTTCATATCACGAGAACAATGCTAACTGAATAATTTTCTTATCAGCTTTTATATATTGAATATAAGATGTTTATAAAACTGTGACTTTTGATGAAAGATCTTTGTTTTTATATGTATTTTTTAAGACATGATCATCTTAATTACCTTAAGAAAGATTATCTAAATATAATTTTGAATTCTTAGGTACACTGCCTGGCACTACAAACATAATTTAATAATAAATGATAAACTGTAATATTACAGTGGAAATCTGAATTCATGTTGTCAGGTGTCCAGGGTTCTGGATTGTTGAGTGGATTTATTAACACCTTCATTTGCAAGTTCACTTAATCATACCAAATCATAACACTGTTGCTATTCTACATACTTTTCAGCTCACTGATGCACATGCACTGTGCATGATTTCAGTGTTGCAGCCATACCGAAAAATGAAAACAGGTTGTTTTATAATATAGCCTATTTCATCACAGTTATGGACTGAGTATCACAGGATCCTTTTGGCAGGATGTGAGAGCTGTAGTGGAAGTATTTGTCAAGACTGAGAAAGAGTGAAAATGAATTGAATGAATAGTCTAGGTACTCTTGAGAGCAGGCATTCTGAAACTGTTAGCACCTCCACAAAGTGGATCACCATATTAGTTACCACAAAAGCTATTCTGCTGTTGTACTAGGACTGGTAAGGTGCACAATATAAATTTGTTACTGATGACCTCAGAGAGTATGGAAGGAACATTTGTGATGGAGGATCGTAACTACCTACAAAATTGCACAGTGTCAAAGTAATTCTGTGTATAACAAGAAGTTCTGGGAAGAACTAAGCGCCTCTTTCCTCTGATATGACATGGACCACACAGAAAACTCGCTGAATAATTCTGTTGTTGTGTATGTAATGTTTTTACCAAGCTATTGCCTGTGTACACAGACCTATGAAAGGGATTTATGCAACACACCATTCAGATCACCTTAGGTGCCATGATGTATGTACCAAGTTTCATAAAGATTAGTTCATTCATTCAAACTGGATGGGGGGATGGACAACAGACAGCATGGTGATCACATAAGCCTACTTGTTTTTTTTTTTAAATTAGGTAAGAAGGCTAAAAATAGGCTTTTATTAACAAATTTTTGAGGTTTGGGGTTCACTTCAAATTTATCGAGATTCACTTGAAAGTTCTGCCATTGCAGATCTGTAAATTCCAGCTTTGCAAAAGAAAAACGTTAACGAAGATAAAACTTTTCCAGGTACAGAGGACCCAATACCATTTACTTAGTCTCAAATAGTACCTTTCCACTGAGAAGATTCTTAAGATTATATCCTGGATCACAAGTCCATGATGATGATGAAAGAATTCTTGACTGTCACTTATTGAGCGCTATTAGAGCAGTGGAAAATGCATTTAGAATGAGTCAAGAACTTCAAATATATCACAGACTGAAATCTACACCAGAATATACTACTTGACAAACCTATTCTGACTACATGTATTTCACACAACTTTATCAGGGAACAAATCACTTCTATCCCAGTTAAAAAAATCTTCCCACCTGTTTAATTCACCTAAGCAACAAACTTTGTTTTGCTTTGTCTAGGATATGTACTGCAAGAATGGAATACGCACAAAATTTAAAATGGCTTCATAGAGCTTTATCTGCTTCTACAGCATAATCATCTTATTGACAAGGTTTTTAATTCATTTTCTGGTGACTGCAGTAAACAACTGTGAATTTCACTGTTTCATCACAGAGAACTGAAACCCCTTGTTTGCACTTTGATGCAGTTCAAAGTTGCACACTGTGCACAGCATGTTTGATGTTCAGTGCTGCCACCTATACATCCTGGAAAAAAATATTTCTCATTTTCTACAACAGTCATTCAAATTACACAGCACTTTGTTTTTCCAGGATATTCACGTTTAGTTGACATTGTTCAAACATTACTTCCATTAATTCAAACACAAAATTATTTAACTTGTAAAATACAAAATTATTTTTGTACAGAATGTTGTGGTTAAGAGCCCACAAATCACAGGTCCACTTGAGCTCTATTCCCCCACCCCAAAGCAGATCCAGACATTTCAGTATGTCTCCTCACAGCTTGATCCAGGATCTGATGAATGTCACGACAACCTTGCAGTGCGCACTCCACCACTTTAGGCAAGTGGTCAAGGTGAAAGCGTTGGGACATCTCCATCAGAGCCACCTGTCACATTCAAGTGTAGGATGGAAAACACAATCAGAATACCTTGTCCCCTACTAGACTTGTACATTATAAGAGCTTTAATCTGTTTCATGGTTTATTTAACAGTTGTATACCAGCTGTATATATCAGAACACTGAAACTTATATTTAAGGTTCATCTTGGGGAGAAGTGAACACTAGAAGAAAACCGTGACAATACCTAACAAATATAATGGAGTGGGGGCCGTAGAAAAATTAAATACTAAATGACAGGATGATTTAACAATGAATTAGGAAGTGCAATAATGAAAATGACTACAGATTATTTTAAGGTATCCCTGAATTTATTTAGAGGCACATCACAGAAAGAATAAACGGTTTCTGGCCAAGTTGTGTAGGTGGGATTTCCCAAATATAATCTCTTCATTTTATCATACATAATCCTGTAATTTCATTCAGTGCTAAATGTCCTTCAGCTGATATAGTGTTGCTAAATAGCCTATATGAATCATGCTTATATACTGCTAACCAAAATGCATCATACAAATTTTGTATTTCACCTGTCCTGAGAGCGGCAATGCTGCAACTGTTAGGTTTGGACCCCCAGAGTTCTCTTCCAAATTGCTGACATCAACCAATGGAACATCTCCATTTGCAAGACTGGCAGTGCAGGCAACCACATATTCTGTCATGGGTATGCCGGCATCCACTAGAGCCAAAGTTGCTGCATTCACACATGCACAGTAATTTCCTCCATCTGCCTGAAGAACCTATGAAATATTTACAAATTGGTTTCAGGCATCCGAATGTGTATCTACCAAACTCCAAACCTGTCTTCCATATAGACAATAATGCAGAAGGCACTTTCAAGAGTTCTCTTATTGAGCTTACAACTGTATGACTTCACCTGAGAGGAAGATGACCTTGTAAGTGTTAATCACATGGTACAGTATCTTCTTTGGTAATTGAGGTTATTTAACTGACTGAGAAATGCTAATTTCTTATGGAACTCTTAAGGTTCATCACCACGAACATAAACATCTAGCATTATACACAAAGCCAGTTAAATTCAGTTCAGACCTTCAAACCCTATTTTTTTTAATGATCCACTTTGATATTCTCTTCCCGTTTATGCTTAGGTCTTCTTTGAGGTCTATACCAATACAGACTGGCTGATAAATACATCATAAGCCCAGCACAGAGACATTATGAAACATGTTCTAACATATTTGAGAATAATTCTAGTATGTTCTGATGAACACAAACCTCAACAAAGATATCAATTTGTGAGCGCGGATATACTTCCACCCTAATCGCTGCCTGGAAGGCTTGACGCAGATGCATGGACATTTCTTGTGATTTCCTGTCACCCCGAGGTCGACGTTTACGTTCACCTGTACTAAAGGTTGCCATGCTATACTGACAGTTTACTAATGCCTTGTCATGAAGGGCCTTACTTCGACTTCCTCGAATCTGAAACAGTTACCTTGGTTAATCACATATACTACGAACGATGCTTCCTTCCCTGGGTTTACATGGAAACATAACCTAATAGTCATGACGTTACAATCTCCAGATAGAAAACTCTTTACAGCATCCAGGATAATAACATATGGTGCCATGGAGTTAATTTTTCACATGCCTTACCATGATTTATGAAGTATGAATGCGATTAATTTGTCTTTTCACTCGCGTGAAATTGATATTAATTACCTCATGAGGACCATACACAGCTGCCAAAACTTTGGTATTTCCTTGTTCTAAGTATGCGCTACCATCTGGCTGACTAAAGACTCCCATTTTACAACGAATTTGTCGCAATTCATTCGCTCTACGACCATCTAAACGCAAACCTTTAAAAGATATTAAATCCATTCGCGCCATGTTGGAAATACAAACGCCGGAAATATTTGTATCTACATTGCAGCCAACGCAACGTAAAGCAGGCGTGTATGCATGAACGAATCCAGTATTTCAGATTACCGACTTTTGGGATTTTACGCTTGTGGTCCGGTAGGTACAAATCTTTGGAGAAACCTGCTATCTCCATCTCCGGGTCATTTCCTGCCCACGCCTGTAACGACCGTTAACTACATTCTTGGTAAAAGTGATTATAACAATATTAAGGATTCTGTAGGGCCGCGCCATAGATCAAGAGGTTAGTCGCTGGCTTCCCACCGCAGCGGCCCGGGTTCGATCCCGGGTCTGGCCAAGTGGGATTTGTGGTGGACAAAGTGGCTGGGGCAGATTTTCTCCGAGTTCCCTGCCAATCTTCAGTCCCCCATTTGCTCCACAATCACCCTAACTTATCATCTGGGTCTGGTACAATAGGCCAGAAGTGGCCGCAGTACAAGGGAATTAGTCCCACTCCACTAGCATTAAAAAAAAACAAATGGGTGCTGTACAAGCAGGCTTCCTCCTTTTTTTATTTGCTGTGTGAAAGAAATCTGTAGTATAATGGATGAATATACGCTTATTCTCAATGGCTTTGGACGAGAAAACTTTGTCAGGCATTCCCAAGTCTATGGTTTCGTGTTGAACGGAAGTGGAGGCAAGACCTCTTAAAGTCGAATATAACGTGGAAAATGCATATAACTTGAGGCGCTGTACGTTCACTGCAACTTTAATTTGTTCTGCTGCTCAAGACGGAAATTTTTGTGAATTTTTACTAAAAATTTATAAATTATAAGACTCTTACTCTCAAATGTTAGACTTGCCAATGCGGCCGGGGCATGAAGCTGATCACTGATCACTCACTGCCACCTAGTGCCAATATTAATACTTGGAGATATACCACCGCGCCCTCGTGCGTCTTCATGGCATGCAGCTCGATTAATTAAGCACAGGGACAACGTTACCTCTACCAAGATGAACATTCTACACGATAAATATAGTACTGAAATAACTATGTTGATCCCACTGATTATCGTCTCGAAGGAGAATCGAAACGATCGAAACTGAGCCGAGACATGGCGCACTCAATCGGAATAATACATTCTACGTGTCAATTCTCCTGAGTTACGTCAGCTTTAACAGCAGACATCCAAATATCCAAACACTAGTCAACTGCAAATTTCGTATGTATGCATCTATGCACCTACAATACAGTGTCTTGTATGAAATGTGATTCAGCATGACTGTCATTTTCTAATACAGCCACATGGATATGTGTATTGAATAGTAAACCGTGGTAGACTTTAGAACTACACGTCACGTGCCTTCAACAGCTGAGCTAACTCGCATTACAGCACATTACTGGCAAGATTTGCTTTCCATATATATACGACACCGGACACCTCAACAAGCCTCAGTATTGGTCTCAGTTCTCCCAACTGTACCAGCGTGCATAGCTAAGCAGTGTGCTCATTACGATCGCTCATGATCTCATGATCTCATGATGGAGCACGAGGGAAAGTTTCAATTTGCAATAGACAGAGGTGGCACCTTCACTGACATTTACGCAAGATGTCCTGGTGGGAAAGTTCGAGTAATGAAACTTCTTTCTGTGGATCCTGCAAATTATCCAGATGCACCACGAGAAGGAATCCGCCGTATTTTAGAGGAGGTAAGTAATGTTCGTCACGCTTTCATGTCCATTTAGAAGTTCAGAATTGCACGGCGATCAGTTCAAATATTGAGCTGTGGTTATCACGTGGTAATATGTACACGGAAGGTCCGTCGCACAATGAAATGGGGATCGCTTAGTTTGTTTATGCGAAATTGCGATTTCCCTCCCACGAAAGTCAGAGGCAACATTCAAAAAATTAGTCCCGAAATTTCCTAAAAGAGAAAAAAGTGGATAATAGCCAAAGTTGTCAACAGAGCAGGCAGGACCACAATTAATGAAGAAAGCGCACACCGCAGCACAAAAATGTCTCTTGAAAAGTACATATGAGTCTAATTTCAGAATATTGTGATTATTATTTCGAAAACATCTGTATCAAACATGCCTATGACCAAATATTCAGCTCATTAGTGGTTGAAAAATTGTCAGTGTATTGCAGATGTTAAAGCAACCACAGACTAATATAGTACATATCGGACAAAATTAATATTAAATCTTTCATAGCCGATTTCGTCACTTAA